CCCCGCAGTTTGCCCCCCGGCGGGGTCAATATCTTGAGCAGATAATATAATTTTCCCTGGCTGTTTTCTCCTCCGGGGAAAGTCGAGCTCCCCAAGGATCCTTTGCCCATTTGGCAACTTGGCGACTTTCACAGTTATTCCTACAAAATGCTTTACATATTTGCGCTTTTTGCATGTGCACACACCAGAATATTGTGTTGTCGTTTGAGGATGTAGGAACGGGATGGGTGGAAAGTTAGCATACGGTCTTGGCATAATATGTAAATTTTCCAGATGTACGTGGCTTAAATTGTTATCACAATTTCCGAATAACTTGCGAAATGCCAAAAGCCGAAAAAACATCAAAAATGCTTGCAATCGCAGATGCTGGGAATATTATGCAAGATGTTCTGAAATGTGTATGGGGAAAATGTCATTGGGTTCTGGGAACTATCTGAAAATTTCAAAAATAAAAGGTAATATATAGATATATTAGGTTTAGATTTTATTTCGATAAGCAAAAATAATTGAACGTTCAAATAAAAGGTGAAGAGCTTTACAAAATTGATTAGCAAACTGCTAAAGGCCAATTCATAAATTAAATTAATTTATTTAATTTGCTAATCGAATCAAAAGGTATTTTGGAATTTAATTTTCAAAGTCAATAAGCATAATGAGTGAGTTCGTATCTGTTTTACCTGCTCAGCCATGAAATTCGGGGTAAATGAAATCAATAAGCCACTTCAGTCGAAATGCCCCGAAAACATTGTTTCGACGGCGGGGAAAACATTCAATCACTCACTCACATCAATGTGGTTAGTCAGTCATTATTGTCCATCGTAATCAGATTATTTGTGCAGCGCATTGCAGCAGATCGGGGAATTCCCCTTGAACTTTTTCGTGAATGTCACGGGCTGGCAATGCGGTTCGCTCACCTCGACGGACGGCCAGTTCCCCCAATTTGCCGACCATCCCCACAACCAACGGCACACTGCTCCCCGGTGGCAAATATTATTTTAGCCGAGCCCCGCAGGCGAGAAAGTGAGTGACAGGCAATAAAAATGGGAGGCGACACTTGGCCCGGCCACTTCCGGCCAAGCCGGAAATGTTTCTGGACTGCCGGGGAATTGGGGGGATTCGGGGAGGCGGTGTGGGTTCGCTTTGACCGAAGGCCGAAAGGCCCGAGCCGTGTGCTATGCAAATAATTTAATTAATATTTTATTCCGACACCCGTCGGCCAGAACGGCAAGGCGGAAGAAAATTGGATTTTTATTTACATTTTTGCACTTACTTGAACTCGCCCGAGGATTCTGAATGGGAATGGGCATCGAATGAGGGAAGAAGAAGTGCACAATAAAGCCAGATGCGAACGTAAATTAAATCCGAACCTCTTCACATATAAAGACTTCGATGCGTTGGCATTGGCCTGCAGTCAAAATTGAGAAAACATCGAAAAAAGTTCGCATCGAAATCAACTTACGCTTGTAAACAGTAAACAAATCGAACGGATAAATTCACATATGTGTAGTATGTATTTCTGGAGATATCGCTCAGACAGTTAGATGCTCGTAAATCGGTGGGGATTGTGGGCGCTAATAAAAGTTTAAGACGCTACACCAAAAAAATATACACGCCGAACGAAAGAACGAGGAAGCGTTTAAAAGTTTTTGACGATTACGCATACGCCCTGTTCGCCGACGGTAATTACTGCGTACAGTGCCGAATAATTATGATGATTAATGGTCGAACGTAACCGAGTGGAAAACAGTTTTCATTTATGATTTTTGTTAATAGCTAGCCGATGCCAGAAATCATTTGGCATTAATCCATGGGAAGTTCAAGGTCAAAGTTGTTTTGACAGAAAAATCTTGGAGAGAAAAAGCATATTACTGCGGATCAATCTTTATAAATAGATTCGAAGACATAAACAATTAGGTTTCAATTTATTTCGTAGACTGTGTGGGATATTTATAAAAAATTATTATGAAATATGTAAGCTGTGCAAAATGCTCTTAAAATATCTAACATTTAATCTCCAAAATAACTAATTACTTTTCCCTGGAAAGTAGAAGAAAGCAGAAGTCTTGTCTAAGCCATATGCTCCCAAATGTGTCGCTTATCTTAATAGAATATTAAAAACTCGCTGATGGATAAGACCCTTCCCCGAGCGGCTGTCGCTCATAATTAAATTTGACTGTGTTATCTCAACTCAACTCTTTTTCACAGTTGGCTCTTTGCGGAGCGTTTGTTTGTCTGTTTGCCCAGAAGTCATGTGTCTGTTGACACTTCTGGCCCCCAAGGTCAGAGCCGGAATAATAAACATAAAAAACAGCCCGCAGAAGAACATAAAAAAAGAAAAGCTGAGCAAATTTCGGTGACAGTAGATTGCAATAAATAATAAATTACTGGAGTTAATGCGAGCAATGAGCGCGGCGAGCGACGGGTATTCATCACATGGATGTGGCTATATAGTATGTCCTATAAACTCTTGCGTGATCCGCCAGCGTTGGGGAAATTCCGGGAGGGAAAGGCGGAAGGAAAAGCGAGGAACAAGCGAGTAAAAAAAGGGAAACCCCCTGGCAACTTTCTGCCACGTTACGTTGCCAACACGCACGTCAGTCATTTCGCTTACTTCTCAGTTTTTCCAAGTTTTCCAACGCCCCTTTCCATTCTTTCTTCTTTTTTCCTTCTTCCCTCGAGTGGCAAGTGAAAAACCTTTTCTTCTTTCATTGTTCTGGCAACTTTTTCGCCAGTTACTCAAGTGATTGAATTGAATTGGTTTGGTTTGGCTTGGCTTGGATAAATTTGCCGAAGCGAAAAACTTTAAATTTACAATGATTGAGGAAACCCCGATGTCGGTTTTGTACTTGCAAATGAACTAAGGGAAAGTGCTTTCCTCAGTCCCCCAAAAAAGGTAAGCTAATCACTGGATGAGCCTTGTCTCAAGTTTTTCAGTCCGGCTGGTGTGAGATTATGTAAACATTGTCGCTTTTTATTGTCGGACTTTAAAGTTCACTTGAAGTTTCGGCGGAAAACTTTGGCCGTAGGCAAAGCTGCGGGCTTACAGACACGTCCTCCGAAAGGAAGCTGCTCAATATTCATGTTCCTCTCTTTCGGCAAATGCAAATCAACATTCTTCAAGCCCGAAAAGTTTTATTGGCCCCGCAATCGGGTTTCTGGCAGTTGGCCTCTCAGTAGTTCTCAGAACTTCCTCGAAGTTGTTAATGTTTGATAAGAAATTGATGGCGAGCACTGAGTGAAATGGCAGGGAATTGGTAATTTCAGCTGTAATTTCAGATCCAGTGGGGTTCTGTTTGATTGGGTTCGTTTAGATTAGCTGCCTTTTGGCTGGAGTTCATTTTTGAAGTTTTAAATTAGAGTCAATCACTTATGGAGGTGTTTTTGTTATATTTTATTTATGAAAGAAATAAGTGAGTGGATAAGCTGTTTATATGCTTATAACAAAAAATTAATTCATTAATTTGTTTTCTCAAAAACTTGAATAAGTAGTATTAAATGTTGTTAAATTCATTTGAAAATAGCCAATAATTGGTTTGATAATCTACTGGCAGATTATATGTTTTAATTGCGAAAAACTTCAAACCATAATCCAAATGGGATTTGAGCACACAAATACCTTTAAGCCACAGTGCACATCTCATTTTGATTAAAATTAAAATATTTATGTCGATTATTTGTCCACCTACCAGCTGCGTATCAACTTGTCAAGCTGTCAATGTTTGGATACGCAATTATAACGCATTTGCGGTGGCACAATGAAATATCCAAAATAAAAAAAAATAAATAAACTGCCACAGCAAACAGTGCGCATTAATATTGCGGTTCGGCACGGCTAATAATTATTAGCCATTGTTATTAGACGCATAAGTAAAATGGCAAACAGAACAGCAATCTGCCAAAGCCTTTTATCAATTGGGCTCTTTTACGAATGATCTATACGCACAAATTGTGTTTGTTTACGCAAAGTGGGATTTTCACTCCCAGAATCCCTCGATAAATCTCAATGAATGCATAAGACAAACACATCAATTCCTTGGAAATTCCATTGCTCAGTGATTACCATGTTCCGAATTTCCGGAGCAGGTGTCATGGGTCAGGCTAGAAACCACCCACAACCACATGGCCAGGTGTCTGGTAAAAAACACACACAACTTTTAATCGGAACTGAACGCCTCCTCTTATCACTGAGATACTTCATATGTCGGCGGGAAGTGGGAAATGGAAAATGGGAAATGCGCTGGCCTTTCTGCTGGAAAATCTCGCATCTGCTTGTGTCTGCTTTCTGCTTTCACGTCAGCAAAATTAACATTTTTTATGGGCTGTAAAATTTCTTAAATTTGATGAATTTATACGCAAGCGTCCAGCGAGAAATTGAAAATATTCAGAGTGAAAATGTGCAACAATCAAAACAATAAAGCCAGCCGATATATACATATAGTATGGTATACTGGGTATTCTCCGAATCTGTTTGGCTTTTTGATTTATGAACTCAATGGTTTATTGCCAAAATATAACAAACATTTTATTTTTGAATCAGATCTCTCTTCAGAATCGAAATATGGATTAATTTTTGTGGCAAATTTCTGTCTTTATTAATAAACGTAAATAAAGGAAAATCTTTTCACTTGTCGCTTTAAATTAATTTCCTTTTGAAGGCTATTTGATTTCTGAAAAATAAAGCAGTAAAGCAAAGTCGACCCCTTGATATTTTTTCATAAATGTGTGCTCATAAAAAATGTACGAACTACGAATGCGTACATATATTCATAGACTTCTTGTCGACAGAAGTGTAGCCAAATATTTTTCCTTGGATTTTTACGCTGGGTATAATTTGTTTTATTTTTATGGTCGGATAATTTGCATTTTTAATGCCATTAAAAATTCATAATTGGAAAATAATGGGCCTCAAAAAGAGGGCGTTGCGTGGCAGTGGGTAAAAACTTTTCCAAAACTTCTGACTAATTTCGTAATGCTCTCTCTTTCTCTCTTTTTCTTTGCAGGGCGGAAAATGGAAAACTGAAAACTGAGAAGTGAAAGCGAGAGTCAGAGTGCGAAAGTGAAAGTGAAACAAACTGGGCCTGAAATAAGATGTCAGCGGCGCTAGTTCAAAAGGCGACGGAAACTCAAATCGACCAGTCACAGGAAGTGGGCGTGGCACAACTGGCCACGATATCGTTGCTATTGCAATACGACATTGACAACACGCTGAATGCGCTCAAGGAGCAGAAGAAGATGACGCTGGACACTCGATTGGGTGGCGAACTGCCCGCCGTGATCAACAACAATGCCACGCAGGACAAGGACATCAACCGAAACACCGAATCGGATCGGGATCAGGATCAGGATCAGGATCAGGATCAGGATCAGGATCAGGATCTGAGTCTCAAGAGCGGCGCCTTCATGCCGCCCACTCCGCCGGCCACGCCCAATCTGCAGAGCACCGCCCAGAAGCGCTGGAAGATCCTGGCCAAGGTGCTGCGCAAGGACTCCGAGGAGACGGTCTCCTCCTCCAGCGACGAGTTCGCCGAGGAGCAAACGGCCTCCGTGCGGCGCTTCAAGAGCTTCGATCTGCTGCGGCAGGACAGCTTCGAGGATCACGTGAGTCTGAAGTGCCTGGGCAAGACGGAGAACTGGTACAAGTACCGCATGCAGCTGGAGAACGACCTGGAGTACTCCGTGAATATCCACCACATGGAGCGCCAGCTGACCGCCAGTGATTTGATGGGCTTCAACAACACGGGAAACATTTGCGTTTGGCCCTCGGAGGAGGCTCTAACCGCCTTGGTTCTATCAGAGGTATCCTCTTATAGGGGCAAGTGGATCCTGGAATTGGGTGGTGGGTTCACCTCCTTGGCGGGATTAATGCTGGCCAAGTACGCCACTCCATATGCGGTTCACCTCACCGACGGCAACGAGATCTCCGTGGAGAACGTGAGGAAAACCGTTTGCCTCAACGAGCTGAGTTGCTACACCAAGTGCTCCGTGCTGAAGTGGCAGGAGAAGAGTGCTCGCTCCCAGGCGGAGCAGGCCAAGTTCGACTTCATCCTGTGCGCCGATTGCCTCTTCTTCGATGAGGCTCGATCCGCCTTGGTGGACACTATATGGTATTATCTGGCACCCGAGGGATCCGCCTTGATTATGGCTCCTCGACGGGGAAGAACTCTCAGTGTTTTCCAGGACGAATGCGTGGCCAGGGGATTCCGGGTGGAGCTGGCCACGCGGTACAATGAGACCATCTGGCAGCGGCATCTCCAGCTGAAAGCGGACTCAGCCCTCTACGACGAGGACCTCCATTATCCTCTGCTCCTGCGACTCCGCAAAATGCACAGCTAGGAGAATATAGAGGGGGGAAGATTAGAAGCAGGGGAAGCCAACTGGCTGCAGTAGGTGCAATTAAAGTTAGTCAATGTTTTAGTTGATAGCAAGCAAATTCCAGTTTACACCTTAAACAAAAAGCGAGGCCAAAACGGCGGTCTCGACCAACAAAAAGAAATTCCTCCCACACTGAAGCAAAAATGTAGCAAGTCAAACCCATTAGGCTGGTGCTAAAAATTATTGTGAAGTGTATTTCAGAAATAATTTATTGTAATAAATATATTCGGTTTATTAGAGAGCAAAGGGGGAAGCAAGCGTATTACATAAATTACAAAAGTTTTAACTCGAAAAGGTGAAATTTATAGTATGCTCATCGCAGGCAATTTAAGATGTAATGTATTGATTGTCGAGATGTAAAGATATACACAGCCATATCTATAATACTCAAAGTACGTTTTAATGAAATATCCCAGTACATATTCACAGGTAAAAGGCACCAGTCTAGTGATCACCTTTAGCACGTAGTTCACTCTTAAGTTGTGTAACAAAAAATTCCTTTGATATGTAAATTTGATTTGCGTTGATTCCACAAGTTTTGTAACTCTTATTTTTACAAATACTCCTCGTTATGTACATGCAGTTACCACTATGTATGTTACACACCCACAACCCACAACCACACACACACCCACAACCCACACCCACACCAACACAAGTATTATTTAAATATAATGTATACGCTGAATAGCATACTTTTGGGCTGCTTTCGTAGAGGCGCAGTGAACACCCTCAAGTGACGGAAAAGCGGAAAATGGATTCCCCGAAACCAAACAGAAACACAAAGCAGCAGCGCTCGACCAATTAATTAATAGTTAACTAAACTTAGTGTACTGTAATTACGTAGAGCATGTGTTAATGGTTATATGATGATGATGAGATAAATACAGTATCGGAATGCGACATATGTGCACTTGTTTTACTTTACTGCCCCCAAAGGGCAAGTCAACCATCAACCATCAACCGTCAGCTGCCATTGCAATAGCAATGGCAATAGATGATGGGCAAACATATTGTCACAGTTATTAGCTGGCTGTTCATTAAAATACCAATGCGAAGGGAAGCCGGCGGCAATCAGGCGCTTTTTTATGGCGATTGCGACAGTGGCTAGGCAATTACTTTAACTGTGACAGGGTCCAAAGCGGCGACTACGACTACGACTACGTCAGAAATGGCCCACGATGAAGTAATGTCCCCAATACCCTGGTGGGAAAAGGGTGCTTCGATTCCAAGGAGGAAATAAGACACTTTAATTGAAAAGGTTGGGTAATGTATATCAATAATATATCAAGTAAATACTGATTAACACGTAAGTACTTACAGAAAAAGTAACTTCAAATCAATTACTAAATTATAATGGAAAGGATTGGCAGTGATTTATAATCAATCAATGATTTTAATATTGTTTAACACATAATATAATGATTAAAGGGTTTTAATCAAGAGCAGATCAGTAAATTCTTATAAGCATATTATTTTTTGTGTTGAAGTTATAGTTAGTTTACATCCATATATAATACAACACCTTTTGCGGTAACATTTCATTTTACAGGGCAAACAGAAGTTGAGGAAAGTTTAAAAAACCAACGCAACCCTGCTCGAATTGTGTGGCAGCTGACAAAAAATCAAAAATGAAAATAAAAATAAATCAGATAAGCGAAAATTACAAAGTAAACTCAACAGCATGGCGAAAGCACACACAAAGTTGCCTTTTCGGTTTAATCTACGTTTGTTTGTGTGTGAGTGCGGGTGTTTCGGGGGTGTTTGAGTGCCTCTGTGTGTGTGTGTGTGTGCGTTCGTCATTAACGAGGTCATTGGTAAGTAAGCTTGTTTGATGTGCCCTAGACATGTAATCCAGGCAGCGGGCAACAGGACTTGGGAGGGGAGTTCAAACAAACGCAGTCCGACAGCCAGTTGGCTAAGTTGGCCAAAAGGGAGAAGGCCAGAACAGAAGGAGACAGGACTTGGGCGACACAAGTGCTGCCAAAAAAGATTAGGCCAAAGAAAATGACAGCTCCAATTAAGGGTGCGATTAAGTTGGAATTTTAAATTGGATTGCAATTCTCACAAGGAGTTTTTCACTTCTTTAATTTTATTTTATCTTATTTCCATTAACTTACATTAATTTCTAATTTACAAAGCCAAGTTTGCAATTGGAGCTGGAAAAACAGCGTTGAAAATCTTAAAGGTTACAAATTTAAAAATCAATAACAAGTAAGCTTGTAGCTCTATATGAATAAATTTCTTAATAAAAGGGAAAGTAGGCACTCCATTTCCATTTAAATAAACTCCCTTTCATTTCCCAGTGCAATGACTTAAGTGATAAAAAGCAAGAAATACAATTTCCGCATATAATTTCCCCTTCAGGAAGTACGAATTTCACCGGAATAAGGCCAAAAGGACAGCACTCGTGGTTAAAGCCACAATGAGCGTTGCGCATACGCCGCGTGTGTCACGCGTTGGCATGTAAATTCCTCCCTCCTTCTCCTCCTCCTCCTTATCCTCCTGCTCCTCCCTTCCCTTCGTCCTGGAGCTGCCAGAAGTCTGATAATGACATGAGCCCGGTGCCAAGTTGAAGCCAGAATGAGACCGAGGGACTTGGACTTGGCGGCGCGGTATGCAAATCAGTTTACTGTGGCGACGACAATGATGGCCGCCACTCAATTATGCGCCGCACAGGAACGACTTTCGCTGCCTACTTTCAGGCACATGCTAAACGGAAAACGCAAAAAAAAAAAGCCGAAACGAAATAAAGGTTGGGGAGAAACGCTTTCGATTTTGGGGTACATTTAAGCCAGCCTGCAGCCTGCTGGCCGAGCATTTTCCCCGGGGGGCTGACTAGCAACCAATTTGATGGGAAACACATTTCAATTTGCGCCCCGGAATCCCTTTTTCGGGTTGCTAGGCGAAATCCTTCGCCCATGGGAAACACGTCAAAGGATTTTACGCGGCCAACAGGTGTTCCAATTGTTTGGGCTTCGTGACGGCGGTATTTTTAGTTTCGAGAGCCTCATTAAATTTTTAATTAGCTGAATTACCGGAATGTGTTGCCAAGTGCGCACGAATGTCGGGGGAATCCGACTTTTGATGGATTCGAGGCATTTTCTGGGCTTGGGGCTTCCGTTTCATTATTAATGTCCGCTAAGTGTACGCTACGAATAGTTTTTTTTCCGTGTCGCATGACGTTACAGGTGTGCGGGAATTTATATGGGAACAATAGGTTCAGGGAACCCTGGCCTTGACATCCTAAAAATAGACGTAGTGCCTTTATGTCACATCGCATATATTAACTTCTCTAATTATCATATAAATGGTTGGTTCCCCGGGAACAGGAGCCCTATATACAAGTATATATTACAGGAAATTACCATGCGTGTCACTGGGTTAGTACTTTATTTTTTCGGAGCGGAAGCGTTGGAAATTATGCCATATAAAATGGTTAACCTTATCGAGGGGCAAAAGCTCAGGCGACAAGCACTAAATTACCTCTAATAAAGATGTTAATTGCCTGGACTTTCCTGAGGATAAATGACCATAACTTTTGTAATGCGAAAAAGTTATTGTACTATTTAAAAAAAAATTATTATTGCATTGCAAGTCTTTCGTAAAGCAAAAGATTTAAGTTAACATTTATAAATACGTTGTTATTATTTTTTAATGATTTATTTTATTAAAATTTTCAACTGGGTATTGAACCTTTGCCTTCATCAAGAGCCCTCGATTATGCAACGAGTGTCAACAATAAATTATATATACTCATTATACCACTCGTTGCGCACTCCACTTCTTATTTAGTTTTGTCGCATCTTTTGTGGCAGAGAAACTTTTTGTTCGAGTCTGTAATTGACTGCGCTCGCCACAAAGCGACTAGCAAATTATTTATGAAAACGCTGCCCTGGCCCGCTATAGAAACCTAATAACAATAATATTGCTGATTAAGCATTAATCAAAGCCGCCAGCTGGGGCAACCAACAACAAAGAAAGCAAACTAAAGCCACAAGACAATGGGCCTTGAGAAGCCGGAGAAAAGGGAAAGTGATGATCTCGCGGCCAACGAAATTTATGGAACTTGGCCGCCTTAATTATGGAAAAAGCTTGCCCCGATATATGGATTTTTAATTTAGCCTTTCGGAAACAAAACAAAACACGGCGGCCAAAACATCGAACTGTTTGTCAACTGATAAGCGACCGCTGATAACAATAAAGGCATTTCCACATTTTCCCCACAAAAAGTCTCTCTTTCCGAGAGCGAAAAGCTCCAGCGAAAGCTTTTCTTTTCGGCCTTGGCATTGGTTCGTATTCTGACGGAGACTTCGGCTTCGTTTATGGCCAACAGCTGATTCGATTTGGCCAGATGTTGCAGTGGCTTAAAGCCGCCGAGTCAGTTGCGCGGCGCAGTTTAAAGCGAGCGTTTCGTGTGCCGGAAAAATCGGAAAATAAAAGCTAAAGACTTGAACGGAAAACGGAAGACTTATGTTTTTTGTGCTGTGACAAATGCGATTTATTCGTGAACAATTGTGGAACTCAACAATTAGTTAGAATTGTTCTCTAATAACCCTGAATTCTGGCTTGCAAAAAGTGCGAGGAAATAATAATAAATACTGTCAACAAACTGAAATAAAAAATCAAATAACCATAGCATTTGTGAAGCCCTGGCAACACTTGCATTTTCCCTCACGACCAACCGCCCAATAACTCCCGACTGACACACATTTGATGAGAACAAATAGCAAACCAAAATAAATCAACCGAAAATAATGTCAACGAAATCGATGGCAGGCCACGGCAGCTGCAACATGTTGCTGCTGTGTCTGCTGCTCTTGCTGCCAGCAGCATCCCCAATCCGCCTCCCCAGGAACAACAACAAAGGCAACAATGCAACAGCCAGAGCAGCAGCAACAACATTAGCAACAACAACAACAGCAACATCGACAGCAGCAACATCTGCTGGAGGCAACAATGCCAATGCCAAGGCTGGTAGCAAATATGGTGAGTCCTACGGGCCGAGGAATACTATATGTATTCAGGCATTGGCAGGGCCAGTCGGAGTTGCAGCTACTTAATGTCTGCGGTTGCAGGCAAGGTCTGCTACACAGAAAAAAAACTTAAAAGATTTCATATACATACTGTTGAGAAAAAACCAACAAATTCATGTTCTTTCAAATCTAAAATTCAAGTAGCCCAAAAGGAAAGTTAACTAATTTAAATAAGAAAATCTCTACAATTTCTGGTTTTCATTTTCAGAAAAAGTAGTTTTAACAAAGTTAACAAAAATCTTAGATTTTTAATTTATTTGGTATAACTCAAATTTTTGCCAATAATTTTTCACTTACTTTCAATTTAGAAATATATTTGTTTTTCTACGTGTCAGTTTCCCTGTTTGCCTTTGTCAGTTTGAGGTTGGCTAATTGCATTTGGTCACGATCGGATCGCTTTTTTCCCTGAACCTAGTTATGCTCCTCGAGGTATTTTCCCTGCGTCTGCCCTTGGTGGCAAACGAAAGACTCAGACAACGAACTTGGCCGGCGGCAAGAGGCTGTTTTTTTTTTTGTTGTTTGCTGCCCTGTGTGCCAATCATGTGGGCACGCGGAAAATGTGTCGACATTTCCTTCTAGCCGCTAAAAGTGGGCGCTGACACGCCCAGAACCGCAGAGCGGAAATTGCCCGAGGCTTTCGATGGAGAGCAAAAGTGTCATTAAGCCAGAGCGAAATGCCTGTAATTGTTGGCCACAAAACACACGTTTCGGCCGTTCTCTCTCTAATCGAATTAGCCAAACAGCTGCAATTACCTCACCGAACGGCGACAGATCGAGATTGATCTTGGTAGATGATAGGGGGGCAATTTGTCGGCCGATCTTTTATTACAGAACTTCCCAACGTCGACGGCGGTAGCAGTAAAAGATTATTAAGCTCCTGAGCTGTTGTAATCCCCCCATCACTTCCTTCCTGGCTTGCATAACACCACGGTGACAGATCACAAAAAACACAGTCTATACCAAAAATTAATGCCTAGTCACCCATAAACTTCCCAAGACTTCAGTGTCCATTAACCAAGCGATGCTGCAATTGGAGTGCCTGTCATTTTCCTTGGCGGTTTCTAATCATTTTTTTTTTTTGTTTTTTGTGGCTCAGCAATGGCATCTTTGCCGTAGCCTCGATGTCAGAATTTGTGCCATCGCAGAGTTTTCACTTTTCCATGTTCTGTGTGCGAAATTCGCCTAAAAATGCTGCTGCCGCCATCAACAGGCACACACAGAAAATCGGTGTCAATGATTTCAACATGGGAAAAGCATGGAAACGACAGCCACACGAAGCTGCAACTTCTGCAAATTCTGCAACATTGGCAACATGGCCAACGCAAACAAGCGAGCTCCAGCAAATGGCATTTCTAATTGCAGATTATGCAAGGTTCTGGCTCAGAAGAAGTCACCAAAGCTGGTTGGCTTGGGAAATCGCTTGGAAATAGGAAATCGGGGCTAAGTGGGCAGGGAAAATTGGAAATTTACGAGCACACAACTCCGAAATTAATGGGTAATTGATCTGGGATTTATTGCTGTGAAATAAAGTGGAGAAGTTCTCAAACTTGTCTTTAAATATATACTATACCATATAGCTAAAATCATTTGCAAGTGTGGATAATCTTTGTTAACCTACAATGCATTTTGCAGCGTAGAAGTACTTAGGCAGAACTGACTATCAAAGCTAAGGTATAATTCCAAGGAGATTTAGAAGGTGCAGCATCACTGCGCTCCAATGAACCACGGTTCAGCATTTAATGCTACATTTTAGTCTCTTCAGGCGAAGCTCTTGAAGGCATTCCTCACTTCTGCAACCTCTCGAGTTGCCCCCGTCCCATTAGCCGCCCAGCATCATCCAGTCAGGTCTAGTTTTTATTCAGCCTTAACTGCTTTGGCAGCTCCCCTTGGCTAATTCACGTCACACTTTGAGCCATATCCTCCATCACTCCATCGCGTTCGCGAAGAAGTGGAGAAAAAGTCGGCCTCCAACTGGCAGCACACTTCAGATCTTCTGCTGCAGATCTTGTGCTTGTGCCAGTGGGAACAACCACTTAGTGTTGGCCACAAAAAAAAAAAGAAACGAAAAAAACTGAAACAAAAAGCGACCGAATGAAACAGAACTAATCCAAAAGCGTGTCTGATTCAGGCGGGAAACGAGTTCCTTGCCCCCGAACTTATGGTCTTGTTGTAACCATGGTAGCTGATTTGCATGCAACAGGCACCTCGACTGCAACCTCAACTACCGACAACCGACTACCAACTACTATATAGCAGCAAGCAACTACCAACTGCCGAGTGCCATTGCCATTGCCACTGCCACGAATCTTGGCTATAACCCCGTTTTCGCCGTTGCCCATGCTCATGCTTTTGTAACCTTCGATAGAGATACGCGGCGTTGCCGGTGAACCAAATTACAAATCGGTGAATCTGACCTGGGAAGTTGAATTCGTGCCGTCGGCCCATGACACAGATTCGAGTCGTCCCAACTCGCGAACGGGCCAGGTGAACGCGACAAATATGAGCGGCGGCGATGTGGAACCGCCCCGGGCGCTGGCATTCCAGATCTTCTACTGCGAGATGCAGAACTACGGACCGCAGCGGTGTCGCGTCAAATTGGTGAACGGCACCACCGCCGAGGTGGTGTCCCACGAGGACAAGGAGCAGCAGCAGCAGCAGCAGGATCCCTTGGGGTAAGTGATCCCTCCATTTAGGGAATGCCCCAAAAAGAAAAGAGATTGGACAACTAATTCACTCTGTGGTTTTGGCAGACATTTCTCAATAAAAGTAAACAGCTTTAAAGTTTAAAGTGGTTATAAAAATCAAATAAATTTATGTTAAGAGTTATTAAAAAAAATAGTATTCATCTTCAGCAATCATCAAAAATATATAAACTATTTAAATATAACAAAAAAAAACTTTCACTTTAAACTAACTTTACAATAAATCCCAAACTCCTAATATTGCATTTGTTGTTAAAAAAGAAAGGGGAAAATAAAATACAGAAATCAATTCAATATCAAAACGTATTGCATTAAGCTCTTCATTTTACTCACTTGTATAATTTGCTATATAATTTCTGGGTGCAGTTCTCAGGTGCAGCACTTTGCCGCCGCGGTGGAAAACCTGCGAATGGCCACTAAATATAGTTTTCACATTCGCCCGGCGGCTCAGAGGCGCCTCCAAGCGGGCGGGACGCGAAGCTCCAATGCCCGCTCTGAATTTCATGACGAGAATGAGATCGAAAGTGGATCTGGACATCTGCCAGGACAGAGTATTGTTATTCCCACCAAGGGTTGTAAGTAGAAGCAAATTAATAATAAAAATATTATTTATTTACTGAATAAATGGGGTTTTTAATTCGGTATACATTTCTTTACTAAATATTACTTTAAAAAATGTTATTTATTTTTTGAAATACATTTTATTCTAGTCACTGCTCATGCCACTCAGTGTTTGCCTCATGCCTCGGAAATTGAAGTGGAAACAGGTCCATATTTTGGAGGTAGAATTGTAGTAGATGGAGGAAACTGTGGCATAAAAGGAGATGCCAGTGATTCGGCGGACAAGTACACCATGAGAATCGATCACAAGGAGTGTGGCAGTTTGGTAAAACCAGAGACCAACACGGTGGAAACTTTTATAACGGTGCAGGAAAATTTGGGGATTTTCACTCACAGCACTAGACGGTAAATAAAATAATTTTAAATATATATTTTCAAATACAAATACAAATAATTTAAATTTCTCTTTCAATGTTTTTGGCAAACATTTTTAAAGGAAATGCAATCAGAAAAATTTGTTTTTATCAAAAAATAACTTTATACAACTCATATAATTAAAAGTAAAAACCATTTCTGCATCCTAGCTTTGTAGTAGTGTGCAGCTATCAGTCGGGCATGCAGACGGTCCGGGCAAGCTTCACTGTACCCGGAAAGAACGGAGTGGCCGCTGCCTACGAACCGAATGATCCCTTCGAACCCGATGAGGATCAGCGCTTGGGCAGGGAACTCCGCCAGATGAGGTACGTCAACAAGACTGAGCTGGTGCTAAAGGAGCCCGATTCCTCGCCCGATTCTCCACCGGATTCCCCAACTGAATCTGATTCCCTGGAGGAGGCAGCGGTGGTGGAGCAGACCCAGCCGCCCACTACGGAGCAGGTTGCCCAGCCAAGAGGTCAGGGCAGAGCTCTGAACCTCAACGAGGTCAACAGCTTGGTGGAGAGTCGTCACTTGGAGCCGGTGGTGGGCACCAAGTACGCCAAACTGGTTGTCGACCAGGCTGAGAACTCCTGGTTGCCGTTGGAGGCGAACTCGCCACCAGGAGGCAGCGTCGAGGATGAAGGTAAGTGGCCTGTCAGCGACAATCGTGATTCCTAAATGTCCATATACGTACAGAAAAGGAAATATTTGAGCTCCACAATTTGATATGATTTTTTGGAAGAATTTTCACTAATTTTTAAACAGATTATTTGAATTTATTAAAATTACTGTAAGGAAAATAGTGTTTAATTCAAGTTACCATCAAATATCACCTTCTTTTAAATAATTTTGTATTATATTTTTTTTATATTCATATTTCTTTTACAATATTTTTTCTCTCCGTGCAGCTGTTCTGCGTTATATTGGCTCCCATCTGAGCAGCGTGCTGGTAACCGTTTCGCTATCTGTGATAATCATCAGCATTTGCATCGTCTTGCTGCAGCGCCAGCGGATCCGACCGCCGCCCCGCAGCCCCGCCCCCTCGCTGGCCGCCCACCTGCCGCACAAGACGCTGCCGCGTGCTCTGCAGCAGCACCAATACCAGTGCACCTTGTAGGTGCCCCACTCGCCCCCCAAAAACCACCACCACCGAATGCCCCAACTCGTCCTCCGATTTCCAGCTAGTTATGCCCACTTGTCTTGCTGAATGTCAAGGAAGAAAGCAAAAAATACGAGAACTCCATTTAGCTAAAGATGACTGCGCATAGCCACGCCCCCCTCCAACCGCCTCCCGCCTCCTGGAACCTTGGTTCCCCCCAATCAAGACCCCAAAACGGTACCAGCGGGATCAGCATCCTACGATTTACATAATTGTTAACTCGACTTCGAATCTGGCCAAGCTTTAAACTGCGATCACGAGGAGGACGAGCGGGCAAAGGGCACTTCTCATAGAGCGAGATTAGTCTGTAGGCTCCTTAGTCTAAGATTTTTGTATAAACTATTTATGCCCGGAAAATATATTTATTTTTAGCTACTAAAAACATTTCGTGGATTATTTTGAGGATGGGTAAAAGATGGAAAGATGATTTAAATAGGAAGTGTTATGGATTTAGAATTAGTAAATTTCGATTAATTTTCATCAAACACAGTTTTTGGAAATTTGGATAGGGGATACATAAACAATGAAAATGAAAAATGAACTAATTAAATTAATTAATTAAAGGTATGGCAGACGGACAGACTTACACGTCGAATAAGATCGTGATGCTGATCAAGAATATAGGTATTAACTTTGTGGGATCTGAGGTGCCTCTTTTACTGCGTTGCAAACTGCGATTTTGTGCGATTAAAAAAGAAGTGTTAGTTAGGAAACCCAACATGCTCACCTGAACTACGAGCTAAACTAGGCCTCGTAAAAACTTGACTTAAAACAACCGACCACCGCTGAGTTATTAATGGAAAGATTATAAAACACCATAGCTGCTAAGTAAGTTAAATAAAGAAAGGCATAGCCTAGATTAATTTCCGTTCATAATTACTTCCCAAGCTCTCGAACGAAAGTCAGCCAATGGGTCAAATCCCAAAATAGAATCCCACCTCCGCCAAGTTCTCACTTCCGCCGGAGAAGCTTGCCGATAATTTGGGCTCCAACTGACATTATCATCAGCAGATAATTTCGGAAATATATTCACAGCGATTCCATCAAGAGAACGAAGACTGTCGAATGGGTTTGGGCTTCTGGTCGTAAAACAGAATTACGAAATTATGTTAAGACGTTGGCTCGTCAGACGGCGATTTGCATGAAAGTGGCACACAAAGTGTTGTCAACTCCGCACGTTCGTGGTTCTCCAGGTTCTTGGCTCTTGAAATTTTCCACTCGAAGTTCTTCAAGGGGGTTTTTCGCCGCAAAACGGAAGCCGGCAGATAAAACATTAAAACCGGGAAACCGACAAAAGACATACTCGTAAAACTGCAGTCGGCGGGGGCTCGTCTTGTTATTGTCGGCTTGCCGGTTGCCCAACATGGAGAGGAGTCACCTCCACCTCAGTCCCCAGGTTCAAATCTGAATCCAAATCCAAAACCAAAACCAAAACCGAAAAACTGAAGACCAAAAACCCAGTCGGTTGGGACGTGCCCACGGTGAGATTCCGGCGAAAGGCATTCTGTTAACTTTCTGATTGAAGTGCCTGGACTTGGGGCTCGCTGGATTTTTGCATAGAAAAGCCATTAGGTTGGGGATTTTCATCATCATCGCCATCAGATACAAAAGGTTTGTCTGGCCTTTTGTTTGCATTATTAGAACACAAAAACCAAGTGAGCGTTAAGATCGCGCGAGCAAAAGCCGAGAAAAAAAAAGAACTAGAAAACAAGAAAATAATAAATAAATAAACTTTCTCATCTGCAAGCTAGACTGCACTTAGAAAATATATGGGAACTAAATTGATTTACAACACTTTCGAGAGTTGATTTATAAAACTAATTGCATAAATAAAAACAAAATAAATGTTAATAATGTTTGCTAATAAATAATATTTACTATCTTCAATAAAGAAAATGTTTTCAATGATGATGAATTCTTTTATTTGGTAGCATGTTACTTTATTTTGGAACTTGTTGTTGTGAAAGCTTTGCCTAATATGTATATAATTTATACTTAAGACGAAGTTTCTTTTTTTTTTGTAGTGCTGCTTAGAAAGAATCGGCAACGAAGTCCAAGTCCAAGCCTTCGCCTTCACCTTCACCCATTTCAATGGGTCTTTGGTGCTGCTGCTGCACCACCGCAACCACCGGCGGCTGCTCAAATTTCAAATTTCACCCACAGTGAGGCCTGGCGTTTTGACGTTGATTAGCATGTGGCACACATAAATCTGTGGGTCTGGGCTTCCGTTTCCCTTTTCGAACGCACTCTCCAGATCTACAGATCTACCTTCCATACTATACAGATGTTTGGATCTCCAGATCTTTGGGTCCCCGAAGCATAACGCGGTGCATTCACCACCACCGATCGGCGGAGAACCGCCGGGGAGTCGTGGACCGTGCATAATGAGGCCAACGATCTTGGCCAAGAAGCCAGCCGAACCAGTTAATGAGCCGCCGCCGTCTTGGATTAGAATGCGAGCAGCTGACGAAGACGAAAGTAAAACCGCCTCGAGAAAGTTTCCATTTCTTGCCAAATATCGAGATCATTTTCTTTGGAGTTTTTTTTCTCTCTCTCGATTGTATTTTCTAGCCGGGATTATTATTAACGTTAAAACGCAGCTGGGGAGCGTTTTCTATGGGTAATTACTGGGCCGGCTCACATCTAATTACCAGCAAAGTGAACCCGAGATTCGTGTCAGATCGAAAGATCCCCAGATCTGCATTCTGCCGGCAAATTGCACACAAATGTCTTCCCGCCCCTTTTGGGCCTTTTGGAAAACAGCTAGCCAAGATCTGGGTTATCTTTTGGGCAATCGTGATCTGGCAGAACCACAAAAATGGAACAGCCACCGACAAGCGGCTCATTGTTTTTAGCCATCATCAGCGGACTTGGCGCTGGGGCCTCTGTTCTGTTTTGTTTTGTTTCCGAACCCAGATTCTGGGCTAATGACAGTCGCACTTTTTAATGATTGCTATTATGAATTATGTGTGGTTTTCCGGGGCCAACGGAGGAGAATCGGTGTCAAATTGGGGAATTGTTTGCAACCCAAAATGGGTGAATTTAAGCGGTTATGGGGTTAAATACCCTTTTTTTGTTTGTCAGTTTGTAGAAAGATTTTGATTGATGAATTGGACTTGTGGTTTGTCATGAATTTTAAGAAAGAAATATTTATTAGTGTCTCTTCAATATAAGAATATTTTCATTGATGAATATGTGTTGTTATGATAAATGACGCACATCTTATAAATGTATAAACGACTCAAGCAATGTGTTGATTAGATACGCTGGGAAAATCCATTTGCTCCAAGACTAAAAGATTAACACAGTTTTAAAAGCGATAATGGATGTTTTATCAGTACGTGTATACAGAAAGGTTTCAGAATATACTATAACTGATATTTTTATACCCACTTGAATTGTGGAACCTAGCACAACAAAGTAACGTACTCCCCCTTATCCTTATCTTAAGAAATATAAACACTTGGTGGCTATTTTTCACTGGCAGTCTGTTGAAAACCGGTGATGCATCAAAATGCTTAGAGATCCGCGATGTTTTTGTGTGCTAGTTCTGGCTTTAACTTCTCTGATCTATGGAACTCAAAGTGCAAATATTCTGGGACTTTTTCCTAGCCTGAGCCCTTCTCACTTGATCATCTCAATGTCAGCTGCCAAGATTTTGGCTGAGCAAGGACACAATGTGACAGTTGTAACGGTTTTGGATCCCACAGTGACTCACAAAAATATTAACTTGATTCAAGTACCACTCACTAAGGAGGAAATTAAGCAGAGAAGTGAAGCCATTGGAGCAAAGCAAAAGAGTACAAGTAGTAATCGTTTTATTTCAATTCTTCGAATGTCCGGTCAAATGAATTCAATGCTGAGGAAGATGGCAGATGTCTTCAAGGATCAGAGAGTTAAGGATCTTTACCTAAACAAAGGCAACCACTTTGACTTGGTAATTTCGGGATACTTTATGAATGATTACCAGTTGGGATTCGCTAGAAAGGTGAATGCTCCTGTTGTTGTTTTGGCTCCTGGTCCTCCAAGTCAGATGCTTAATTCCCTAATCGGTAATCCAAATGATCCTGTTGAAAAGAATAAGGATATGACCTTCGGAGATCGTTTGGATAACTTCATTACCAGCCTCTTTTATGGAATTTTCGTACAGCAAATTAACCAAAGAAATCGCGACTATTACGCGTAAGTAGATTTATTTTCCAAAGTTTCGTTGGTCTGAAATTCTTTTATTTTTTAGAGAACTCTTATCCGATGATCCCAATATGCCGGAGTATTCGGAAATGCTGAAGAACACCTCGCTGGTGTTTTTCTGTTCTCATGCAGCCAGCGAGGGATCGATAAGAGCTAATGTTCCAGCTGCCATTGAAATTGGAGGAATACAGATCAAGGATAAGCCAGATCCTCTGCCAAAAAACCTAGAGGAGTTCTTAGGCAATGCCACACATGGAGCAATTCTTCTGAGTTTGGGTTCCAATGTCCAGGGAAGTCACATCAAACGAGACACAGTGCAAAAGATGTTTAAAGTTCTATCGAAACTAAAAGAGAGAGTAATTTGGAAGTGGGAGGATCTGGAGAATACACCTGGAAAGTCGGACAATATTCTCTATTCCCGTTGGCTGCCACAGGATGACATCTTGGCCCATCCAAAAATAAAGCTGTTTATAAATCATGCTGGAAAAGGAGGAATTACCGAAGCCCAATATCACGGAAAACCCATGCTTTCGTTACCAGTTTTTGGTGATCAACCGGGAAATGCTTTTGCCATGGTCAAAAGTGGTTTTGGCCTTCAACTTAGTCTGCTCACTTTGGAGGAAAAACCCTTTGCAGAAGCCATTAAGGAGATCCTAACAAATCCTCAATATAGTCAAAAAGTGGCCAAGTTTTCCTCATTATATAGAGATCGACCATCGAGTGCCAGGGAATCTCTTATTTTCTGGACGGAATATGTCATTCGGCACCGAGGAGCTCCTCATCTGCAAAGTCCTTTGGTCCACATCGACTTCATAGCCGCAAATAATTTAGATATATACCTTCTTTTAGCCGCTGTAATAATAAGCGTATTATGGATTTTAAAGGTGGTGAAAAAATGGAAATACAGAAAGCTAGCAAGACACTTTAAAGTCAAAAACAATTGAATGTTCTACAAAATAGCAATAATATTTACTTTAAGAAAATTATTACTTAATTATAGAAACTTTAAAAGGTGGGAATGTTAAAGAGAAATTGTATAAAAAGTAGTTACCTAGAATTTTTAAGAATTAGTACTTAGGTGAAACTTATTGTATAAAAACAGTAGTTTCCTAGAATCTTAATAACTAAAATCCTAAGACAACCTGAAAAAAACAGTATTTTTACAATCCTGGGATCCCTCGCTTCTCCCACAAGTTCAACGGAGTTCATGCAAATAAACTCGAAATGTTATGGGTTTGTGCAGAACCTACTCGTCCGAAACAGGTCTTTAACTCTCTGATACCCAGATGACATCACCGGCAAAATGCCCTTTTAATTCGAGAAAATAGCAGACACAACAAAGTCACAGTGAATTGGCATGGCTATAACCATTATGCAGTGACTATATAAAGCGTAACTACAGATGCTTGGAACATAATTTAGCGTGAATAAAAACCTGATGTTTGGTTAATTTTCTTTTCCATTTCTCGCCGAGATTCCCCTCACGCACCGAAAAGGAGAACCGGGGTAGAATAACAAGTGGAAGTGCCAGGCCCAGATCGAAAAGGCCCAGGCTATAACCACAAACAGCAGACACAAGCCTGCTTATAGCTTTGCACTGAGAAAAAAATAGGATGCAATACCAAGTACAACAGAATATATCAAGTGGAATATTTATAAAATTAATTTTCTCTTGTTTCTTTTAACAGGAATTAATGCTATACTTAAATGACGCTGTGCATTTTAAAGCTTACATTTTCTTTCACAAACTAATCATAAAATATATAACTTAGAAATATCTTTCAGTGCAGCTTGATATATGCACCTGCTGTGGCCACTGCTGATTTCCTGCATCGCTGCATGCAAGTTATGTCTCTATCAAGTTTAGTATTTGTATCTGACGCCGCGGCGTGCAGAATTCGCAGCAAACTTGATGCATGGTTGCAGTTGAAGCGCAACGGTTGCCGCAGTAACTTGAAGTACAAGTACAGCAGCAACAGTAACAGCAACATCTGCCGCAGCAACCTGCAACCTGCGCCAGCAACTATTGTAACCGTAACCAACTCATTCCCAATCCAAACCAAAATAGCGTTCTCGGTGTCGCAATGCGTCGCATGCGTCTTGTTTTTTGTCATCTTCAAATGCTCTTTACAAAGGGTTCTTCTAACTATAAATATATTATAAAAAAAAATTATTTGATATTAATTTTTTTATCAGTAAGCTCACCTAGTAATTTATTAGAGTTATAGCTGTCTTAATCCTAATGTGTAAGCTTTTAAAATCACTAAAGAGTATCAACTCTCTTCTTGTCAGTGGTAATAAATCAAACCATTATATAATTTTTATTTCTTTTTAAGAATCTAAGGTTGGAATGTGAATATCGCACCGCTACGATGATGTTCTTGGGGCCATCAGTTTAAATACCAGTTTCAAGCGGCGTCTTTTCCTTGGCATCGCCTCGCTTTTGGCCATCGCGCATTTTTAAGCACATTTTAAAGTCTCATTCTTGTGCTCGTCGCGTTTTTTGCGAGTGGCTGGCTGGATGGCCGCATCCCAAGGCGGTCCATCCGTACCAGCCCATTTTGGCCCATTGCTGGTCATGGCCAACCCATTCCCAATCCCAGTGCTATTCCCCATTCCCCATTCCACTGAATGGCCATTCCATTTCGGCTCGGAGCTCATAACTGTTCTTGACGCGCTTTCCTTTGAAATTAGCTGGCTTGGCCACAATTCCAGTGTGCGTTTTCGACCGTTCTGAGTGACAACGGCGGCGGTCATGGCCAGAAGAAACTAACTAGACACGCCCCCTCTGGACCCGCCCCCTGCTAATCAACTGCGTATTTCAATTTACCGTTGCCAAAAAAAAAAAGGTGGAAAAAGTCTGGAGGGAAGAAAAAATTATGCACTTAAAGAAAATCAAAAACAAATTTTATTTAATAATAATATTTTCTCCATTGTTTTTATTTTTGCTTAAATTGCTTTGTGTTTCATATATGTATTTACATAAAATTGTATACAATAATATTTTGGTACCTATTGTCTTCCTTTTGTATAATTATACATTATAAAACAGAATACATATGATACTTGTATATAAGATACATTTTTATCATTTCATATTTATTTGTTTATATATCGATTTATATTAATATAAAATATTTTAATATTTTTACAATTTAACTACTAATCAAATCCAAAATATTTTTTCTCAGTGTCGTGGAGGCGGTAAGCGACTACAGGGACCAAAGAACAAGAGGTGCTATTCCGCGGAGGTACTTAAGTTAATTCCGATTTTTATGCGACACCCGTTAGTTTCGGCATATTATTGCCGACGCTCGGTTATGGAGTAATGGAGTAATGGAGTTCTCCGCAGATCCAGAGCCTCGGGAGTTGGGAGTCGTGCAAATTGTGGGAGATCTGTGCAGTGTGCCATTTCGTGGCCAGGTTCCCTCAACGCTCCACTCCGCATTAAGTCATTTTCCCATTGAATCTGCTCCAGATTCCCACACAATTGCTATGCCCACTTGAGCTTCGCCCGCGCACCTCTCGCCCTGATTTATTTATTTTGCCAGGTCTTACTAATTTTTATTTGCTTGCAATTTCCAACTCTTTCTCGAAATAATTGCGAAAAAACGCTAAGAAAATAAACGGAATTGGGCGCAGGGCGAAAGTGTAGTAAGCCACCTTAAATGGGTTTGGGCCATTAAATCTGCGGCCCGATGAAACTCAAACTCAAACTCATTTGGGCCGCTTTGTTACTTTCCTCACTCGTCGGATTTCTATAGGCCCGGGCATACATATAGCCTAATGGGTCTCTGTGAGAGCCATTCAAAGATAATCGCCGAAAGCTGCACAATTAACATTGCCTGAGCTTCAGTAGATCCAAGAGAGATGATTTTGATTCGGTAAATGGGAACTAAAGATCTGCCACTAAAGTGAATCTCTAATATAAAACCATTGTTTAGACGGCGTTAAAGAATTTCTTTTTGAAAGTTTAATTGTTTATAGAGAGATGTTGTCACTGCCCAGCTTACTTAATGAAGCAATATAAATAGTTTAAATATTAAAAAGAACTGTAATATAGATATTATGTCTAAGAAAGTAAAGAGCATTTAAAAGCTATCTTAATTTCTGAATTGAATAAAATTATATGGACTAAAATTTTCTTGCACGACTTTATATAAAAGATTATCAATCTAGAACCGTTACAGTGACTTGTAAAGAATTGCTACTTAAAATTCTTGAACTTTCCTAATGAGTTCCTACCATTTATAACTCTTTTAATGGGTTTACAAAGTTCCCAAATAAATTATTTCAATGCTAAGAAGGTCATTGGTTTTCCCTCGCCTTGAAAGTATTATTTTTAACTACCAACTTGTACTTGAGAATCTTTCTATTTATAACTTCTGTTTAACAAACTAATTTGAAATTTTCCCAAGCGCTGCACTTCCCAGAATTTTCACTTAACATTCCCCCAGGGCGATATCAGCTCTCCCACTCCCAATACTCCACAAAGAATGCCCGATTTCACTATCAAATCTTTGAACCGTAACCCGCTGCGTCCGATTTTCGAGAGCCATGAACCCAGAAAGCCCTTAACCCGTAAGATCCATAAAAAGAAATGATATGGGGGCCGAGGGAACGGCACAGAGACGTCAACGCAGAGCAGACAATGCCAACGATTTACTAACTTAATTCTACACTTGGCATTAATCAAGCCCCAACACAGTCCGACATAATTATGTGATTAATAAGCTCCATTGTGAGCGAGATGGGTGAGTTGGGTGAGCGTGAAAATGAAAGTGCTGTCGATGATGGGGAGCTGGAAAAAGTGGAGGGGGATGGGGGATAACTACTTAGCGGCGATCGGCGAGCATGCTCACTGCAATTTGCCGTTGCACTTTTCGAATTTGCTTTTACATCCCGCAACGCGCAGGTTCCGTTAGTACACTCTACTATATATATAGATATATATAGTAAGCCAGCGATATACTATAACCCATCTCCAGAGTTTTCCATTGTTTGCTTTTAATTTTCGACGTGCGAGCGCAGACAGGTGCAATTAAAGGCGCTGCGAATTGCATCGCGATCACTCATCTAGCGGTTCGAAAGCCCCACAAACCGACGCCTGGGTGCTGACTTATTAGCAGCACTGTGCTCCCGAAAGGAATTCAAATCGAACGGGTTCGAATATTGTTGGTTTATACCATTCATACAATTATGCTATACAACAAAAAAGAATTATGAACATTTGCTTTAATAAGCAAAATGAATAATAAATTAAATACATTGTTATTTAGTAGGCAATTAAAAATAAGCATTAAAAAATTCTTTAACAGTTCTTAATTGTTATTATTGTAAAGTTTAATAGACAACAAGCTATTATTATAGTTGTGTTGGTCATTAAAGTGCTTGAATCTTAAACATACATTTCTTTAATTAATTACCTTTATAATTTATGATTTTTCCTACCTTCGTTTTGTAAACTCTTTTCTGTTACACAGTGTTCATTTGTTCAATTTCGGCGTGCGGAAAGTTGGTGTCAAACGCGCTTTCGTTGGGCATTAATAACACCAGTCAATAATGCATACGTATACCCGATGTGTCCCGAAGCTGGCACGCTCGCTTTGAATGTAATTAGGGTCACATGTGATGGAGACGGAGATGGAGCCGGAGATGGATCACGGAGCACAGAGCACAGACCATTAGAGTCGCAGCCACCGCACCACACTGGTGGTTTGACTTCGGGCCAAAACGTATCGCCAAATGGTGGCTGACAAATATCAGAGCAGAGTGGGCAAGCAGCTAAACCTTTTTAAATAGTCTTGCCCTAAAAACATCGTCGCAATGCACAGAAAAAAATGTTATAGAATATTTAAAGCATAAATAAAAAAGTGTTTTATTTTAATTCGTATATTTAACATTACTTAATCAAACTATACAAGCAAACTTTTTAAATTGACTTAGTCTTATGTTGTATTATTTTTCCCGTGTACTTAACCACAAATCAACTCGCTGCAGACGTAGGAAAAACTTTGCTTGTCTCGAGAATTTGGGTTAGAAGCATCGCATTGCATTGGCACCGATCGAATTGAGCCATCGATGCCAGCCAACGCTGCGTATACGTACGAAAATGCTGATGCAAACGAGAGTACGAGTATCGCA